ATGAGATTGTTGGACTATAAGACCTAGAATTCCCTACCATTTGGGGTCGGTGAATTAAAAATATCCAAATCACTTACACACCTAAGACCCACATTGTTCAGAACTTTCACGTTATATAAACTCTCACAAACCGATTTTATTTAGTAAAGCTTCAGCTACAAATTGCAACAACTTTAGAATTCAATCTCAAGAATTTGTTGCAAATGCCAAGTCTTAGTTCTCTATATGCACCTGCTCAATTTTGGATTCATCCGCCACATTAAGCCCTAATGTGGCTAGCTTCTTTTTTGGTTTAATGCAGTGTTTCTCAACCTTGGCAACTTGAAGATGTCTGGACCTCAACTCCCAGAATTCCCCAGCCAGCGAATGCTGGCTGGGGAATTCTGGGAGTTGAGGTCCAGACATCTTCAAGTTGCCAAGGTTGAGAAACACTGGTCTATGTGATGGTTTAAACATGGCTCAAACTGGGGAGAAAAATGGTCCTCCTCTCTAGGAGACTCTGCCCGCTCCAACTCTCAGTGCTGGGTCTGTTCAACCACAACCCTCAGCTTCTTTTTTGAGTTTCTACAAAAGGGAAGCCTGGCTGTGTTGTGGGGAGGCCTTGGCAAAGGACGTTCTTGGCTGTGGAGCGGGGAATTGCCCTGACCAAGTCACCTTCTAAAAATCCAGCCTTGCGCTGTAGGCCAAGGTGGGGGAAGAGGAGGGGGCAAGGAGCGTAGGCTTTGGAAGGCTATTTACCTCTTGACGCCGTATGCCATGTTTAGCAAATTGTCGAGCCTGTGGGAGGAAGAGGAAGATGAGGAGAGGCCATTGTTAGTAGACAATCTCGCAACAAAAGGGTCTTGTGAGGTTATCTGCCCTGATTGTCAGTGCAGCGGAAAGGCGGCACATGGATTCTGTCACTTGCAGAAGTTGCCAGTTAATGGATTTAGGATTTAGGATTTATTTCATTTATATGCTGCCCTTTTCCCCCGAAGGGTGTGTGTGTGTGTGTGTGTGCGCACAACCGCATCCTGAGGCCCTGGTGTCTGATAGCTTGGTTGGAGGGGAGTTCAAAAATCATAACAAGGATCAGGTGAGGTGCTCCACGCAATTTTTACACATTTATTTTTTTCATGAGACTAGAAAGTGTGGGCATTAAATTCTAAAGGGCGGTGAAAGTTGTATTTCAAACATCACAATGAGGGTGAGGATGTTTCTGACACTCATTCCTTTTAAAAGCAAGGTACATAAAGAATAGAAGCGTACATGGCAAACATGTTTATGGTTCCACTTTGACATCCTAGCCCCATTTTCACAGTGGACTTTCCTTTCCACCTGGTGGCCCAGATTTTATATATAGATATAGTAACACTCTTGACATGGGATCTATATGCTGGCTTTATAGTACACCAAGATTCCCATTATCCTGTAAGATCAAAAGGGTTTTCTTTCTTTCTTTCTTTCTTTCTTTCTTTCTTTCTTTCTTTCTTTCTTTCTTTCTTTCTTTCTTTCTTTCTTTCTTTCTTTCTTTCTT